AATGAATCTTTTTCCAAAAACGAGCTGATAAGAATCATGAATTCCGCAAACCTTTCAGAACAACTTTCCATGTCATCTTCCTCCGTCTGATGATGTCACTTTTTGAATGGGTGGGCTTCAAGTTCAATTTCTATTTTCCGTGGCGTGTGTCGTGTTGTGTATCTCGAAGACTTCCTAGCGTGTGACGTCACCGTCCATCGTTCAGTCCTCGTTCCACCCCCAGCCCCCACCACCAGGAGATCTACTTGTCATTGTTTGCCTGCCGAGCCGCCCCCAACAACCGCTGCCCCTGAAAAGTATTTATTTAATTTAATTTAAATATAATCTCGAGGGTTTTCAAGAAACGCTTTGATTGACGCTTACGTGACGCGCGGTCGTGCCCCGGATGGCCTCATGCTAGTTGTGATTGTGTGTGTCTTGACTCGCGGTGTTGCGTTCGTGTACTGGCTTGTGTGTGGGAATTTAGAAGATGTGCTGGGGGCTTGGGCAGCATTTCATTGTGGCCGCAATATAGTCACTAGAACAGCTGGCGGAACAAATTACTACAAACGTTTTAGTTGAGAATTCCTCTTTGTTTGAAAAAAAAATCAAAAAATTAAAAGTCACATTTTCACAAGAATAAATTCATTCTTACGACGACTAAATAACGCTGCCCGATGATTGTATTCAGGACATGATTTCGGTGCCCCGAATGAGCTTTTCCATGTGACCCCAAAACTGGTCATGCGCAGTGCAGTGTCGCCTTTTTTTCTTTTTAGAAAATCACGTCTAAAAATGTGGATTGTTGCAATTGGTTATGCACAATTGTGCGATTTGTTCATTTAAAAAAAATGGAATTGCTTGACAGCAGCGCTGGCGCAAGTCCAACATTTTCGCATCATTTTACAACTTTTTAATGGTAATTTGTAGCCACAGGGTACAAATTTGTGGTGTGTGTTATGACTATTTTGTGGCCATAAATTAGCATCCCGTGCGCATAGTATGTACTGTATCTCCGTTGTGGCCACAATTGACCCCCCCCCCCTCCACACACACACACACTTGTCGTGTCTGGGGTGGGGTCAACTGAAGAAGTCCAAAAAAGTAAACATTTTGAAAAAAGGAGTTCCGACTCTGTTGGGGGGGGGGGGCTTTGTAAGTGAATGCTAGGCTAGGCGAGCACCCGCTGCGGCATCGTTAGCCGGCTAACATTGACGAGGCGGTGGCGGCGGCTCTCATTTGACAGACGTTCCGTTCGTCTGTCGCTCTCTTTTTAGGATGCATGTTTTTCTATCTGTACTGAGAGTCTTGACAAACATGGCAAGTGATTTGTATTCACTTCTGGAAAATGACAAATAAACTGGTGCCAAGTGTTTTGCTCAACAACAACGTTGTCTTCTTCACCGCCCGCTTGCACGCGCGCCCGCGCGTTATTTCAGGTGACGCGGACACCAAAACTGATGATGATTCAGTTACCGATTTGATCCGTAACACGCCCTCAGAAAAGCGGCAACATGTTGATCGTTGGACTCTCTGCAGAAACGCCGCTTGAAGACAGGGCGATGAACATTGAAGCGCACATGTAGCGGTCTACCCGGGTCGATGCGTGCAGCTGCGCCGTAGCACCGCGAGAGGCCAGCATCGGATGTCAGCTTCCGCCATCGAAGAAGAAAAAGGCGGAAGTCAGGCAGCCTTTTCGCTTGGGTTTGTCGGATGCCAGTAAAAAATAGACACCTTTATTACTTATTCGTATTTCTAATGAAACTGCGAACATAGTCACCTCGTCTTCGTTTCGCTTGACAGGGCAGACAAGTTAGCGACGCGTGCTAAGCGGAGGGCCAGCGTGAGACTCAAGCGTTTGTTGTGGTCTCGTGAAAATGCCGCGAGCTTTGGATCTGCGCAGATCTCGGGCTGACGTCACCGCGAACGCCAGCGCTCGGCCATAAGCGGAAGTGAGGCAAGAGACGCCCTCGCCAAATGCGCTCAGCCATCTCGCGACAACTTCGCGGATGTGGCGTGTTGTTGTTCTTCCTTTTCTCGTGGTCGTGTTTTCTTGACGCGAGAACGAGCGGCGCGCTGTGAAATTCCGGGTCGCCGAGCCGCTAAAACGCGCCTTTCGCCTCGCCTCGCCTGTTAGCTGCGGACGAAGAGCGTCGCGAGCGAGCTCGGCAGCAGAGCCGAGTGCCAAGCAAGCCTCGCCGCCGTTGTGGACCGCACACGGAGGGCGGAGAAACGAGCCACCGCGGGAGAAAGAAATCTCGGCACCGTTGCGCAGCGCGAGGAGGAAGCGAGGGCGTCCGCGACCGGACGCTCGCTTGGACCCACGCGCGGCAGGTTTGTTAACGCTCACGTCCGCTTTGATTAGTTTCAGTGTCGTCGCTTTCCAAGGCGATTTTTCAGCGCAGTTAGTTACTGTCCGTCCGTCTGCTTCCGCGGGGATCGGAGCATGTAAGCGTCGCCCATTTTCTGATGTCAGTACACAACATGTGACAAACCTGCCGGATCCCAATCGCGGGAGGCGTTGCTTCCCTTTTGATTTAACTCTTGCTGCTGACACGTTTCCAGGTGATGGCAATAAAGCATCAGAGTAAGTAAACAAGAGTTGTTTGTCATCCACGCTTTGGGCATATTGAAGGCAAATCAAACACGAGTCAATATGAAAGGCACTTTATTGGCGAACCCCGTTTTCAGTTGTGAACTGACTCTTCTAAGCATTCACTGCGACAGAATTCTTTCAAACAAGCTCTGCATCAATGTTAGTCAGCCAGAGGTCCAATTGCAACAAAAATGCAAACAAGTCTGACTCTTTTCCCCTTCAATTTTTGACATTTCTGAAGCACTCAACTTATCGCGGCACCGTATCATGATCAAAAAAAAAGAAAAATCTACACAGAGAGATCAGCACTTTCTTTATCTTTGTCCTCATTTCACAATTTTTGCTATCATCGGAAAGCAACCTGTTAGGAAGATATTCCGATTCGTCTTCATTCCAACGGTACATTCGAGAATGCCGCGCACAAGTCACGCACAATGACCACCAAAAAAAAAAAAAAAAAAATCCAGACAAGAACTGCCGTATGGATTTCGGACTGGATTCGGCTTCCTGCCTGTTGTGACACTCGCCCGAAGTGACTTTTTTTTGTTCTTCTTTGTCAAGTGTCCTGCAGACATGAGCCCCCCTCCCCGCGTCAAAAGGGAAGAGGACCTTCCGGAGACACGGACACCAGAGCGGCCCCTCATCAAGAAGGAAGAGGAGGAAGACTGGCCCCCCCACCTCAAAGAAGAAGAGGAGGAAGTGGGCATCGGTCAGGAGGCCGGACAGCATCTCGGCGGTCCGCGCGAAAAGGAGGCGCAGCGGGAGGAAGCGGAAGTCGACATCCGCCACTTTCCTGTCATTCAGGTCGTCGTGAAGGCCGAAGATGAAGATGGCAGCGCCGAAGGCGAGCTTTCGCGTCTTCACCGCAGTCCAAGCGCGCCGGAAGCGGACGGCGTCTCGGCTGCGCTCTCCGACTCGCCGGACGCCGCCGCCGAGACGAGAGAAAAGCCTTTCGCGTGTCCCTTTTGCGCCAAAGCATTCGCCAGGAGGACGCATTTGAGGTCGCACGTGATGACGCACACCGGCGAGAAGCCCTTTCCCTGCTCGCTCTGCGCTCAGAAGTTCTCTTCCAAGAGCAATTTGAAGTCGCACGTGAGGACACACACCGGGGAGAAACCGTTTCCCTGCTCGCTCTGCGGCGAGAGATTCCCCCGGAAGCACACGCTGATGGAGCACTCCCGGACGCACACGGGGGAAAAACCTTTTCCGTGCTCGGTCTGCGCCCAGACGTTCTCTTCCAAGAGTAACTTGAAGGCCCACATGAGAAGACACACCGGCGAGAAACCCTTCGCTTGCTCGGTTTGCGGCGAAGGCTTCACCACCAAAGCCATTCTGGTGGTACACGCCAGAAAACACACCGGAGAGAAACCATTTGCCTGCTCAACCTGCGGCGAACGATTCACCCGGAAAGACACCTTGACGGTCCACATGAGAACGCACACGGGAGAAAAACCCTTCCCCTGTTCGGCGTGCGGCCAAACGTACTCGTCCAAGTGCAGTTTGAAGATTCACATGAGGAGACACACCGGCGAGAGACCTTTCGACTGTTCGGTGTGCGGCGAAGGCTACGCCACCAAAGCCATTTTGGTGGCGCACATGAGAACGCACACGGGGGAAAAACCTTTTTCCTGCTCGGTGTGCGCGCAAACCTTTGCTCACAAGTGCAACTTGAGGACGCACATGAGGAAACACGCCACCGACGAGGCGCTCGCCTGTAGCGGGTGCGATCACGGCTTCGCTTCTCGATCGGAGCCGGACGGGCACGAGTGTGCCGCCGAGAAGAGTGCCAATCGGTGACGCCGTGAACGTGAACTTGGGTTATCGCCGCTGCAACCGCTGTTCCCTGGTGCTTGTTTCCCTCGAGTACTGACTAGAAAATGGAAGGATACCAATGCCGTCCGAATTCACGTGATTAACAGTGTTGTTGTTTTTAAACCATCAGAATATTTCTCACTATCGTTCCGCTTCAAAACCTTCATTTGTTCATCCGCACAACGTCCCTTGCGGGTTATGAGCATCATCCGGGCCAAAGCAACGGATGGAGCGCTCCCGGCAAATTTTTGTCTGGCAAGTTGTCTTGGTCTTCACCGCGGTTGTTGGATCGCGGAACCTTGGCTTCCAACTTCCGCGGCTTCTTTTTTCCTTGTCAATAATTAAAAGGCACGGTGACGTACAAGAACCTCCGATTTCAAAAAATGAAAAGTCTTCAAATAAATCGAACTTATCAAAACAAATCTGCTCTGATAAAGTAATTGAAGGGAAATCGGACTAAACTCAACATAAAACCAAAAGTAAATGTCATGAAAATTTCTAAAACTAGTTTCAACCTCGAACGGACTGACATCACACCCAGAAAGTAATAATAGACGGAAGGAAATTGGTGTTTTGTGGATGTGTGAATGGACAGACTTTGATTATCTGTCTCGGCGACAGGACAAACTCATGTTTACGTTTTGCGCGCATGGAGATGAATGGACGTCCACATTTTGTAACTATGCGGTTCTCTGTAACGCTTAATTGAGGAGATTTCACATGAACACCCAAGAATTTGCCTGCCCTGGGGGCGACCCTTCGCCTGCCAGGCTTGCGGCGTGCGCTTCGCCGTCGCTGCTGCTGCCCGTGCGCGGGCGAGCGGCCCTTCGCCTGCTCCTTCTGCCAGAAAAAGTTCTCGCGCAAGGGCAATCTGATCCGCCACACCGGCATCCACACGGGGGAGAGACCCTTCCCCTGCGGCGTGTGCCACGTGACCTTCAGCTCGCGCTCCAAGCCGGCAGACCGTGCGCGGACGCGCACCGGCGAGAGACCGTTTGCCTGCTCCGCCTGCGGCAAAAACCTTTGGGCCAGAAGACGCACTTGAGGATCCACATGGTGACGCACACGGGCGAGAAAGCCTTCTCCTGCTCCGTCCGCGTGCAGACCTTCTCGCTCAAGAGCAGCCTGGTGACGCTCACCCGGACGCACACGGGGGAGAAACCCTTCGGCTGTCCGTTGTGCCGGCAAAACTTCGCCTCCAAGTATCAGCTCAACAAACACGACTGCGCCGGCGGCTCGCAGACCCACCCGAAGGCGTAGGTAGCCCTTCGCCGACCCGACGCCACACCTCCAACCTTAGGAACGTCCGGGGTTCGGAATCGAACCCGCGGACGTTGTCGTGGGCGACGGAGGAAAATAAAATCCTTCATTCACCCTTGCGTCCTGCTCCGGCCGACAGCAATGAAAGGACTCCCGAGTGTCGTCCTTTCACCCTGAAATTTGATGACGTTCTTATTTCGAGGCGAGCACAAATAAAACGGCCGTCTGCGGGACAGAAGACAAGCACCGCGAGTGGGGAAAGGAAAGCAAAAATTGCACTCGAGAGACAGGCTGATGTGATATCACCAGACTGGAAGAGTTGCACGATACGGCCGAAAAAAGCAGTTCTCCAATCTTTTTAGGCGATGTGGTGATACGCGATCCCTATTTGGTTTGCTCCCGAAGGTCACGAGTTCAATTGACGCCATGTACAATGAGGAGCGGCACGGTGGTCGACTGGACAGCCCGTCGGCCTTGCAATGCAGGGGGGGGGGGGTGGCTTTTCTGCGGGTGCTCCGCTTTTCCTCCCACATTCCAACATGCGTGGCAGGGTGAGGGAACACTCGAAATTGACCCGAGGTGTGAGTGCGAGCGCAAATGGTTGTTCGACTGCGATTGGCCGGCGACCGGTTCAGGGTGTCCCTCGGCTACTGCCCGAAGACGGTGAAGCGGTCCAGATAATGGAAGGACAATCGCTGAAAGAGAGTCTCTTGTTGGCTAATTAAAATATGCGCGCAGAATTGGAAAATCCCAATCAAATGGAGTTGAGCGAACCCCGAACCACAAATCAAAAGAACACCCGCACTTTAAATGTGCACATTTTCACCGAAGAAGAACTCCTGTATAACACACGCTGCTGGCAGTCGCACGGCGAAGGGAGACAACAAAAAAAGGCTTCCAACGTTCCGCCCACGTTGACAAAGACTCCCCCAAACAGACACGTGTTCATTTCTGGGACTGTGACCGTTTCGTGTGATCGGATCGAACTTGTTTGTCGTCGCTTTCTGTCTTCTTCGTGTGTTCCCGACAGGTGAAAGAGTGGATGTGAGCGCGTCATCTCGTGAGGACACAAGGCCACCGATAGATGGCAGCAATGTGGCGACCGTGCCGCGGCTTCGGCGAAGAAGTCGAAGCCGCCGAAGAAGAAGAAGAAGAAGCTGGGACGTCTCGACACACGCCGCTCACGAAGCTGTTGCCGACGCGCGATCTTTGCCGAAGCGAGCGTTGCTTCTCCGAAAGCTTTGATTGATGCAGTGAGCCTTTTTGCTCCGTTCTTCCAACAAAGACGACACGTGAGGTTTTCTTGAATTTCCTCGCCCGGGCGCCCTTCGAAGCTTCTCCGCTCCGCTTCGCTTGTTAGCTGCCGACAAAGACGGGCGCGAGCTCGCAACACGCGGCCGCAGTCGTTGGAATTCTCGTGGGAACATGTGCAAAGTGAGGATGCTGCGAGCGTTGGTCAACGAGCGGCTGAGCGCGGCCGCGGAAGAAATCTTTGCCGTGTTGGAAAGAACCGTAGCGGACTACGAGGAGGAACTTTCTCGAACCAAAGACGAGAATCTGCGACAACGGCATCTGCTGGACGCGCTCTTCAAAGCTCCCCCGGTCACAAACGCGCCAGGTTGGTTCGTCACCTTACGGGCCGCTCGGTCATGTCACATTTCGAACGGGTCTGGCGTGTTCTTGTGCTGGAGGAAGATATTCCCCTACAACCTCTGCAACTCGCTCGTTCGCGATGACAGGAACACGCCTTTGCAATAACACGTAATGTGTGTGCGTGTGTGTGTGTAATGCCCCTCCTGCTTGTGGCACAATCCCGTGTGACCCGACTCTTCCAAATGATGCGCGTCCGTCTCGTGGTGTCCCGCAGACCTCCGTGGAGAAGGGGTTCCTCCTGGGCAGCGGGAAGAGCAGGAGTGGGGATCCGGGGCGGAGCCGGAGCCGGAGGCCCCCCGCACCAAAGAGGAGAGCCCCCACGTTGACGAGGACGGCTTTGAAGGACTGCGACCGCCGGACGTGAGCAAACTTGCGGTCACGCGTGTCATCGTCAAGAGTGAAGAGGACGACGACGACGAAGACGAAGCGGCCGAGTGGCGCCGCCTCGATGAAGAGAAGCGAAGAAGCCGAGCGGACGTCTTCACGGCCCCTCGCTCGGACGCCCAAAGAGCCGCCGCCGAAGACGAGGAGCGCTCCGGAGGCGCCGGCAAGCCGGTCGAGTGCCCTCAATGCGACAAAAGCTTTTCCCACCCGAAGAACTTGAAAAGGCACATGAAGTGCCACGCGGGGGGGAAACCGCCGGGCCGCTCCGCGTGCGGCGGCAGCAGGTTCTCACAGAGGGAACATTTGATCCGGCGCGGGCACGGCCGCATCCGCGCCGGCGACAAGCCCTTCTCGTGCTCGGCGTGCGGCATGACCTTCCGCTTCCACTCCACCTTCGTCAACCACACGAGAACGCACACGGGCGAGAAGCCCTTCGCCTGCCAGGCCTGCGGCGTGCGCTTCGCCGTCCGCTCGTCGCTGCTGCGGCACATGCGCTCGCACACGGGCGAGAAGCCCTTCTGCTGCTCCTTTTGCGGCAAGCGTTTCCCCAGGAAGACCAGCTTGAAAGAGCACACCAGGATTCACACCGGAGAGAAGCCCTTCTCGTGCTCCGTGTGCCACGCCAGGTTCCGATTCCACTCCAAGCTGGCCAACCACATGCGAACGCACACGGGCGAGAGACCCTTCGCCTGCTCCGAGTGCGGCAAAACCTTTGCGCAGAAGGAGCACCTGCGCATCCACGCGGTGACGCACACGGGCGAGAAAGCCTTCTCCTGCTCCGTCTGCGGTCAAAGGTTCTCGGCGAAGAGCAGCCTGGTGACGCACACCAGGACGCACACGGGGGAGAAACCCTTCGGCTGTCGGCTGTGCCGGCAAAAATTCGCCTACAAGTATCAACTGGACAAACACGCGTGCGCCGCCGGCGAGAGCAGCGGCGCGCAAATGCACTTGGCCGTGTAGATCGGACTTCTTGCGCCTTTTTGCCTTTCACTTGCCATGGACTGAAAATGACATCACAATCGCTCAAACCAATCCCAGGTCCATTTGTTTTTCGGAGTTTGCCCGGTTTTCAGTACAGGATTAAATGCCCCCCGTCGAGACGGATCCAAAGGCAGGCCGCGTTTTGCTGCTTCATCGCTCACCCGCAGACAGAATATTCAGCAGAATTCCATCTCCAGGCGAGGAGGGGTGCAGACATCAAAAAATAGTTGGACTGGATTCCTTCTTTGATGCCAACAAGAAATCTTCTGCCTGAAATTCATATCTTGACTGTTTTTTGGACTTTAGTTTTTAATTCTACAACAAAGGGGGGGGGTCTTTTTCTATTGTCACACTGTAAAATCATCGAGCCCACTGAAGGAAAGAGGAGACTCTTTTCACAGGGCAAAACCCCTCCCCAAAACAAACAAGTTTCACTCGTCCTGAGCAGATGAAAAATGGTTTGGATTCACCCAAAACGGCACTTCTGACCAAAAAGGCGGAGAAAATGAAAAGTCCACACTGCAGTCATGACACTCGACGAAACCAGTTTACTTCTTGACATTCTCTTGACAGCGCTGCATTTCTCAGCCCAGAATGCGGTGGCCGATGCGGGGCGAGGCGAGTGAATGGTGAGGAGATTGGTCACGGTACCGCCCGCCGTAGGATGCGTCCGGCACTTTGTCACGGACCGCCGCGCAAGCGGACGCCATATCAACTCAAACCGTCAACGCGCGACGGTCTCGTCCTTTTCTCGCGGGCTTTGCCGCGTCGATGATGATGTCGTTCACGAGGACGCGCCAACTGCATCTCGTGCATCTGACGAGCAAAAATCACATGACACTCAAAATTTGAGCAAGAGAGGGACCCCAAAGGGCAAAGTGGCTGCAAATCAGACACGGGTGGCGGTCGCTGTTTGATATTTTAGATCTTTTATTTTTTTTTGCAAGGCATCAATCCCGGAAGCCCGTTTCGATGTCCCCTTCTGGTTTGAGGACATTTTATGAGCCGACTTTGCCAAGTGGAACTCTTCGAGTGTGGCAGAGACCGACGACGGAGATCCGCCGTGCATTTGACATGCGCAACGGCTCAGTGACAGCGAATCCCTTTTGAGAATGGACTCATCGTTTTCCGTACCTTTATTCCCCCGCCCCAATTTGAAAGGGTCCAAATTTCCGCTTCTCAACTATAAATATTCTCCAATTCACAAAAGCAGACAGCCTATGTTTGTGTGGGACCCAAATCAAATATTCACCAGGAGCTGAATCCCAATTTCTGGATGCCGGTGCCTTTTCTGCACTGTGGATTTGAAGGAACGTCGGGTTTTTGAATGAAAGGGTAGAAATTAAAGCATTTTTTTTTAAACATATATAACGTGATTCATTGATTGAGCGATTCTTAAAATAATTGTCAGTTGCGGCCCAGGTTCATTTACATCTCGCAGTTGCAATGTTCATGAATGGAGACTACTCTTGAACAAATGTGGTTTTCACATACAGTCAAACCTCGGTTTTCGAACGTCTCTGATCTCGATCCAATCAGTTTTCGACCAAAATTGTGAGTTTTTTTATGCCTCGGATGACGAACAGATTTCGGTTCTCGACCAAACTGAGCGCACTTGAATGCACCGCTCGACTCCCCTCGCCTTCCTTACACGAGGAAGTGACGCTTTCCATTGTGAGCAGACTGTTCGATCAAGTTTTGTTTTTTTTAAAAGAGCGTGGTTTCGGTTTTCGAACAGGATTCTGAAACGGATTATGGTCGAAAACCGAGGTTTGACTGTATTTGGTTCAGGTCTTCCCGACCAGAACGACGAGAAAATTCCGACGATCGACCAAGAGGATCTACTCGGCGTGCGTCCTGCGGTGTCTCAACACGGAGGAGTGGAAGCTGTCGCAGACGGAGCAGGAAAAGGGTTTCTCCCCGGCGTGGACCACGGCGTGTTCCTTCAAGTCGACCTTCCTGGTGAAGCGCTTGCCGCAAAGGCCGCAGGCGAAGGGCTTCGCGCCGGCGTGCGCGCGCACGTGCCGCAGCCACGACGACTGCGCGCCGAAGCCGACGTCGCAGGCGGCGCAGGCGAAGGGCTTTTCGCTCGTGCGCGTGCGCGCGCGCGCGGCCGGGTTCATCTGGCGAGAGAAGCCTCGGCCGCGAGCGGAGCAGCCCGCGTGGCTCGGCGCGTCTTGCGCCGGGCCGGAGCGCGAAAGAAAAGTCGCGCGGCACGCCGAGCAGCGAAGCGCTTCGGCGCCCACCCGCTCGCCGACGTGCCCGACTGCCGCTTCCCGCTCCTCGCACGACCCGCGGCTCAAAGCGGCGGCGTCGGGGGCGCCGGGTGACCGCCGGCCTTCCTCGAGCTTGACGATGACGCGGCCGTCCTCCTCCCGGCTGACGTCGACCTGCCGCTCTTCCTCCGGCTCCTCGTCTTCCTCCTTCACCCGGGCGATCTCCGCCTCCTCCTCTTCATCCTTGACGCGCCGAGGGGCGCAAGTTTGAAATCACTTTTTGTCATTGTTTAAAAATGGGTGTAAATAGGTCAAAAAGATGGGTGAAAAGTCATCCCTCTCTGACCTGATCCCGCTTCATCAAAGCAATGTGATCTCATCGCCTCCCATTTGTTGACAGTGAGAGAGGAGAGACACTGTGCGATCCAATACGTTTGAAACATGTGCTTGAAGCAGGGGTGTCAAACTCATTTCACATTGTGGGCCACATACGGAGTCAGTAGATGTCAAGTGGGCCAGACCATTAACATTATACCATACTGTGCTATGAATCACCAAAATATCGTCTCTTTCCTTTGTTTTGGTCTCAAGAAGCATTGATTGGCGCTTTCATATCATTTGCTGTGTTGGGTCTATCTCGGTGACAGACTGAGACTGCTGTTTTCTTCTCTGATCAAAACAATGTTGTCTTCTACTGTGATCAAAACAATGTGCCCCCTAGCGGATAATCCACGAATTGCATTTTATTTAAAATATTCATTCTGTGTCTTTAATACATTTTTTTTCACTTTTAAATCATCCCGCGGGCCGGATCAAACCTCCTTGGGGGCCGGTTCCGGCCCGCGGGCCGTATGTTTGACACCCCTGAGCTAAACAAAAAAAAAGGGCGAAAAAACAGCGTGTCTCGGGAGGACGCACAATCCGCCTCGAACACGGGAACAGGGATGACGATGAGATTCCGTGTTTTACACAAGCTTGATTTGCTTTTTCCCCTTCTCGTGAATTAAAAAAAATGTCAACCGATACATGAGCACAGGAGGAAGATTGCGGACCTGCTGCGTGCGCGTCCATCCGTTGTCGTCGCGCTTCGGTTCTTTTGCGTCCGAAAATTCCTCCTCCTCCTCCTTCGCATTCTTATCGCCTTCCTTCCGGCGGTACTTTTTCAACGGCCGCCCCTTTTGGCACTCATCTGGGACACTTTGCGCAGCTCTCGTTTTTTTTTGTTTTTTTTTTGGGCAGCTAACAAGCTAAAAGCCACACGGACAAGCGAGGTCGATCGGAGACGAAAAGGGGCTGCGCGATGGACGAAAAACGGCGAGGAGCGGCGAAAATTTCGCCTCTGAGGGTTCGGTGGAGGTTTTTGCCATAATATGGCGGGCCTTTGCGCGTGCGCAGTACGCCCGTGAGCAGGTCCGGTCGGGAAATGCGTTTCGCGCATGCTCAAAGCGGCCACCCCCCCCCCGGATCAGAAGTTCGGAACGCCGTCCGCAGAACCACCGCTCGAGTCGACACCGTGGAAGGCGGCCTCTTGTGT